GATGGTGCCTTCACCTGCAACCAACCTTGCTAGATATCGTAAGCTCAGTGATGAGATGGTTGAATTTATTGAATTCTGTGTAAATCACGGTGTATCTAGTGCACAAAGTGTCGGGCGTCTTTTAAGAGGAAAATTTCTTGAAAGAAAGATTTACCAAAAGGGCCTTTATAATTTAATTTAAGCGGCAAAAAAAAAAAGGGGACACGAGTAGAATTTGACGCATCTGATCTTATAGGGCACTTGTATTCAAAGCGAGCTGAGGATTCATGTTGGTTTGTGAAGGCAAAATTTGAGAAAGATGAACGCCAGTTATGTGGATTAGTATGATTGTCACCAGAACAATAAATGTTATAGACCAGTTATCATGATGTTCTTTTTTTTGACACAACATCACGTACCAATAAATATAACATAATGGCATGTTTTTTCGTTCTTATCGACAATTGTAATCGATCACGACTTGTTGCGACTGCGTTGCTTGAAGATGAGACAGAAAATAGTTTTATCTGGGCATTAACAATGATTAAGAAGTGTATGGGAAATTTAACACCAACTGTTGTGTTCACTGATTCTGATCCAGCGATAGCCAATGCAATAAATGTGGAATTTCCAGATTCTATTCATTGTTTATGTATGTTTTACATTGATCTTAATTTGAAAAAGAATCTTAGAAATAGGTTGGGTTTAATAGAATTTAAGGAGTTTCATGAGGATTTTTTCAAGTATAGGAATACATTTGTTCTGAGTCTTTTTGAAAGTCGATGGGAAAGTTTAAAGGCAAGATATACATCAATCAGTGGTTATATAAAGCGACAACTGGATTCGTTTAAACATAAATAGGCTATCTGTTATACGAATAATCAGTTCATAGCTGGTGCAAATAGTACTCAACGAGTTGAAAGTTTGAATCGTAAAATTCATGACTGTATTCGATCGAATTTGTCACTTTTGGAGTTGACTAGGGAAATTCAAGAATTACTTGATAAAGAGTCAGAATATGCGAGAGTCGAGGAATACAAGGAACAAATTCCTATAATCGGTCTTCCAACTATCTCAAGAACCTATTTTAATTCTATTGAAAAGGTTGTTTCGCAATATCTCTTACCAGTAATGGTATATACTATATGTAAGCAAATGCAAGAATGCTTTTATTATGACAGTTTCCTAATTGATAGTACGGCTATTAATTTAATGATCCAGGTTAGGTATAATGGTATATAATTTTTAACCTTTCAACTACGCAATATTAAAATATTTTTATTATGCATCATAGGACCAAGTAAATGTTGATTACATTGAAGAC